TCTAATATATCTATTCGATCAAAATGAACGCCAGAAGGAGGAAATAATGTTATTTCCAACACAAGATAATCAAATTCAGTTTCTATAAAGTTGAATTTTTCTGCCGCCATTTTCTCCCCAAATCCTTTTGGGTTTGAGCCATGGCAAAAAGGAAAAAGGGTAAAGGGAAGAAATCATCTGGCTCTAAATCCAAGAAGATGAGTAAGACAAAGCCGAATACTCATGCTAGAGCTAAAAGTAAGGAAGTGGGTTCGATGGTGGAGGTTAGTTCGATGGAAAGTTGGCTTGCGACGGAGGGTGTAGAGGAAATCAAGGTGAAACCAGTGTCGGAGGAGGATAAACAATTGCATGCAACTCAATTCAATCAATGGTTAGCAGTGATTTCTCATCAATCGCCATTATTGAACAAGAAACAGAGTACTGAGGAAGGATTTGCTAAGCAGAGTTCTGAGGAAGGATTTTATTCTGTATCTCCTTTGAGGTATGATAATCCAACTCCATTATTGATGATTGGGAATGATTCTAGTCATGATTTGTTGAATGATCAATTGCATGCTATTGAGGGTTTAAGCCCTATTTCGGAATACCCTGTTTTTGCATCTCCTGCTACTTCTGTTTCTGGTTTGAATAATGCTCGGAAATGGAATGAACTCTTTAAAGAGAATAGAGATGAAGGATTAGATTTATCCCGAAGAAATAATTTCAGTGAGATTGGTGGAGAGAATTTGAATGGAAAGAGGGATGAATGGGTTAGGATTACAATGGATGATGTGAAACCAGAAATTGATTTCTGGAATTCTGATGTTGTGTGCTATGTTCTTAATTCAAATTTACCTCATAGAATCATGAATGCATTCATTAGAAGATCTTGGGGTAATTTTGGGGTTGATCGAGTATCTAAAATGGAGGACGGGGTTTTCTTGGTGAGATTTAAATCGATTGAAGGGCGAGAAAGGCTCTTATGGCTGGACCTATTTTCTTTGACAAGAAGCCTTTGATTGCGAAGAAATGGGAGCCTGGAATTAATCTCAAATCAGAAGATATTCATGAGGTTCCTATCTGGGTTCGAATGCCTGGATTGGAGCTGAAGTTTTGGAGTCAGTCTTCTTTGATGAAAATAGCTGGGATTCTGGGTAAGCCAGTTAAAGCAGATAGGGCAACAGCTACGAAAGAATTAATTGGATATGCTCGTGTAATGGTAGAAGTTAATGTGAAGGGGGAATTGCCATCTGAAGTTGCTTTTCTAGATGAAAATGGAGGGAAGGTAACTCAGAGAATTGTGTATGAATGGAAACCAGTTCACTGCACTATGTGTACTAGAATGGGTCATACTTGTGACCAATTCCCTAATCACAAGGTTAGGGAAAGACAGAGAATGGCTAGAACAAATGGCATGTGGCAGACTATGAGACAGGAACGGAGGCCAGTTCAGGAACATAATGGGGAAGGGAAACTAGGCAACACCCCAAATGTTACTCCGAGGAACAGGTTCACTGATTTACAGGCAGATGTAGAGGAAGGTGAGGTTGTGGAGCTGGAGAAGGAAAATGTGAACTCAAAGAATGATAATGCAAATGGCCTGGTGAAATAAGGAGTGGTCATGTAATGTATGGAAGGATGAGTGGTGGGGGATGTTCCTTTTCTGTTAATGGATAGAATAGGTTTTTGGAATGTGAGGGGACTAAATAAACCCAGTAAGATGTGTGATGTTTTATGGTTCTTTTTGTGCCATTGCTGAGGTTGAGAAGTTTAGAACTTGTTTGAGAAGTAATGATTTAATGAATTTCAATGTTGGTGGTATATTTTTCACATGGAAGTGATAAGGTTTGCTCTAAAATTGATAGAGTGATAGTTAACAGATTCTGGCTGAATTCTTTTCCTCATTTCAGTGCTGAGTTCCTCCCTGAGGGATTAATGGATCATTCTCCCTGTTGTATGAAGCTGGATAATCAGATTGGGAATGTTAGAAAGCCTTTCAGATTTTTCAATATGTGGACTGAAGTTCCAGATTTTATTAAAACAGTAAGAGATGCTTGGAACTGCTCTATTAATGGCACTCCTATGTTCAGGCTTGTTCAGAAATTGAGAATTATTAAGAAACATTTGAAATGCATTAACACAAGGTGTTTTTCGAATGTTGAGAGTGAAGATCTTGCTGCTGAGAAGAGATTAACTGACATTCAGTTGAAGGTGGATAGTGATCCTACTAATGAAGACCTGTTGAAACAGGAGTATGAAGCAAGGACTGAGTATGCTAAAGCTCATCAAAATAGGTTCTTTTCTCAAACAGAAAGCTAAAGCTCACTGGATGAAGGAGGGAGATCTGAATTCTAGCTACTTTCATTCTTGCATCAGAAATAGAAGGGTGATGAATAGGATCTCTTCTATTCAGAATCAGAATGGAGAGATGATCAATGACCCTGAAATGATTGCTAAAACATTTGTCTCTTATTACAAGAATTTGTTAGGAAGTGATGATGGGAAAGCTATGGACATCCATACTGAAGTGATTCAGGCTGGTAAGATGCTGTCTGAAAATCAGAAACATGTTGTTTGCAGGTTATTCTCTGAGAATGATGTGAGGAATGCACTCTGGGATATTGATGAAAATAAGTCTCCTGGTCCTGATGGGTATACTAGTATATTTTTTAAGCAGACCTGGGAAATAGTCAAGACTGATGTATGTGGGGCTGTTTTGAATTTCTTTGAAACAGGTAAGCTTTTAAAGCAAATAAATACTACTTCTCTTACTTTAGTCCCTAAGATGGCTAGTGCAGTTGCTGTTACTCAATATCGACCTATAGCCTACTGTAATGTGATATATAAGATCATTTCTAAGATGATATGTACCAGACTAAAGGAAATCCTTCCTGATATCATTAGTGAAGAGCAGGGGGCTCTTATTTCTGGCAGAGCTATCATTGATAACATCATGATCTGTCAGGACCTTCTTAAGGATTACAAAAATCAGAGAAAGGCTCCTAGATGTATAATAAAGGTGGATACTAGGAAGGCTTATGATTCTTTGAAATGGAAATTTATTAAGAGAATGTTAAAGGCTCTTGGTTTTCTCCTCAATTTGTTGGATGGATAATGACTTGTGTTTCTTCCCCCTCATATTCAATAATGATCAATGGGGGTAGTAATGGGTTCTTTAGAGGTGCTAGAGGGATTAGACAGGGGGATCCTCTCTCTCCCCTATTGTTTTTTATCTGCATGGAATACTTGATTAGACTTCTCAAGAAGATTGAGCAGAAAAGGAGCTTCAAGTTTCATCACAGATGCAATCCTCTAAAGCTAAACCATCTGATTTTTGCTGATGATTTGATGCTTTTCTCTCATGGTGATAGGGCTTCCGTGTCTTTGCTAGTAAGAGCTTTGAAAACTTTTCACTTGGTTTCGGGGGTGCAAGCAAATGAGGACAAAACAGCCATCTATTTTGGGAATGTGAATGAGGATATAAAACAGGATATTCTGTCTTTTTCTGGATTTATTGAGGGAGATTTTCCTTTTAGGTATTTAGGAATTCCTTTAAATTCCAAATATCTTAGAGATAGTGATTTTGATGTGCTCATAGACAAAATGATGGCTAGTATTACTTGTTGGTCAAGTAGGAATCTATCATATGTTGGCAGGGTGGTGCTCATAAACTCAGTTTTGATTAGTTTATACTCTTATTGGGCTCAGTGTGTTCTTTTGCCTAAAAGTGTTGTTGATAGGATTAATCAATTTTGTAGGGCATATTTGTGGGATGGGAGCATATCTCTGTCCAAAGCTCCCCCTATTTCCTGGGATTGGGTGTGTAAACCTAGAAAGATGGGTGGTATGGGAATTAGGAACTGCATTGCTTGGAATAAAGCAGCCTTGGGCAAGTATGTTTGGAAGGTAGCTTGTAAAAAGGATTCTTTATGGGTAAAATGGGTGCACTCAGTATATATCAAACATACTCCAAGTAAATGGGCAGGCTGGGCATGGAAGAAAATTTGCAGGATTAAAGAGGAAATGAGAGCTGGTTTTATCAGTAATAAATGGACAGAAGATGCTTATACTATTGCTACAGGTTATAGTTGGATTCTTGGAAGCATGCCTACAGTTAGCTGGACAAAATGGATCTGGAATAGGTTTAATGTCCCCAAACACACATTTATTGCTTGGCTTGCTGCCCATGATAGACTCAGGCTGAGAATTAAACTGTACAGAATTGGAGTGAGTAAGACTCATCAGTGTTTACTATGTGGTACAGCTCCTGAATCTTTATAGCATCTGTTTTTTGAGTGTTGTTACAGTCAGGCTTGTCTAAATTGTATCTGCCCCTGGATTGGAATTAAGCACAGAAGACTTGCAATAGATACAGCCTGGAAATAATGGAAGAGAGTGTTTGCAGACTCAGTTCAACAGAAAGTAAGACTATCTGTTCTTATTGGCCTTGTTTACCACATATGGCTTGCTAGAAATCATGTCTTGTGGCACAAAGCTGTGATCCGGCCAGAGAAGATCTGTAAAGCAGTGTGTATGGAAGTAATGGACAGATACCATCAACTTATCAATGTTTCTTGGTCAAGAAAGCAAGCTAAATGGCTGTTTAATCTCAGGAACAGTATACCCTGTAACTAATTCTTCTAGTGGTCTGTTTTCTGGGTTTGGTTTTATTGTCTGGTTGTTTTGACATGATTAAGTTGTAAAGGTTTAGATTGATGTAGGCTTGTACTTTATCTCCTGTTTTGGTGTTTGTTTAGCCTTTTGGCTCTTGTAGTTTGGGTGAGGTTTTTTCCTCCTTCTCTTTTTGGTAATAAAAGCTTCTTACTTACCACAAAAAAAAAAAAAAAAAAAAAAAAAAAAAAAAAAACAAATTCAGTTGCTATCATTGAACTAACCAAGCATATTTTTGTAACAAAGGAACCAATAGCAGTCTTCAGATCTCCATCCAAAAAGACATAGTAAACCAAATTTTCTAGATTAGAAAAGTTAAAAGATAGAAAGACCAGATGAGCAAGATAGGGTCATCTACAATCAGATCCTGTTAAATCTATAAAGCAATATAGAGAAACACAATGCACTTCAAGTATAAACTTTGAAGCCTTCAATGGTTTGCTATTCTTGCAGATTCCTATTGCTTCTTGACTTTTGTAGAATGGGTTGTCATTAAGTCTGCCACAATTACATGGGTTCTTAATTATTCCAGCAATAAAATGATCATATAGATACCAACAAACAGCTGAATCAATTCAAGATTAAGACAAACCAAAAGCAATGTATACAGTAGTACTTATAGAATGTTGTGACTGTATCCTCCTAAAATAAGTTCTTCAATAAAATTATTCGCAAATCTATGAGGCGAAGCTCACTACTGAAGCCGATCCCAATATTGACAGTGCCATTGAGTAGGTTGTTTCTTATTAGTAACCTGTTGTCAGACACATAGAATTAATTTATTAGTAAAATTACAATCACTTTGTTGATTAATTTCACATTTAGCTTCTGAGACAAAATCACCAAAGTAAGGTAAAAAAAAGAAGCAAAAGGTTAAAAAAAATGAGAGCGATAATCATACACGGTTTGCAAATTGGATTGGTTGAACACAACTGCAGGTAGTTTCCCACTTAAGCTAGAGTTTTCCATCCTTCTATGCAACCTCAACCAGTAAATTAAATCTACACAAAAGGGTGAGAAAGAAACAGAAACAATATACAAAATACAATCTACATATCCCGTCTTTGATCATGATATTCTTGAATTTTGTGAAATGGAAAGAAAAATGAGAAAGCAATTCAGAATCAGCATAAGCTTGCAATGAACACTTTTTGTCCTTTGTCAATAGATTTATAGTTCTAATGACATATGAACCTATTCAGTATTTTCCCTTGGAAAATCAATCATTTCTCTTTGAAGCTCATAATTTCACCTTATTCAAGTTGCAAAAGACGAGCTTAGCAATCTCATGAATTATGAATGGCAGTGTCTACCATTGTCATATCCAGAGACAAGTAATTTCACTAACAACAAGGATAGACTCAAGCTAGTCTGTGTTAAGGATCTTATATCTACCATTGTCACTGGTCAACATGAATTGCAAATATATATTTTTGGCAGTGTCTTTTCTCTGTTGATCATCTCTGTTGAATATGACTAACATAGCAATCACACACGAACCAAAATTCAATAACGGAATTTATACTAAAAAACAGCACCACCAATGAAACTCACCTCCCCTGCTAATCCCCTGTTCCACCATTCACACCAATATACCTCCCCTGCTCCTCTCAATTACTCACACAGCACCACTTCACGCCCCCACAGCGCCACCACCATTTCAATTAACGAGCAGCTTTCCACCTCACCGCATCACCAACTCTAACTCCCACGCATTCGCACACCCAATTAACAAAACTAACCAGCTTAAACCATATTAAATAAAACAACAAAGGACTAACTAATGCATATTCATTACCCAATTGAAACTCAAATATTGCTCAGTAAAATTGAAAAACACAACTTAAACCAAAGTCATTAAGTTAAGACATGCAAATCAGTAATCCTTAGCTTAACCTCAATCAAAAATCGATCATCAATTATGTACAATTGATACTTACCTTCTTTGTTCGTCGTTAACATGTTGAAGAATGAGTTTAACATCCCACATTACATCCTCTTCTCTACAACCACTCTCAAAATTCACCCAACCAACCACCGGAAACTCGCACCGGTGCTTTGGCACCTTCATCGCATACACTGTCGCCATAAGGTACACCGGCGATTCCACGAACATCCGCGAAATCTCATCGTTCTCATACATCAAATCTATGACATCGCAACAAACCTCGATGCTCACCATCTCACCAACCTTAGCCACCTTTCTAAGCTTCATCATTAATTCTTCAATCACCAAAAACACCGAATTCTTCATGGTTCCGACCTCGAAACTCAGGGATTGCAAAAACAGTATTTCGGCGTCTAAGAAATCGGTTTTTGTGAAATGCTAATCTTTGATGCATTGATCACCGATTGATTTTAGGGTTTTGAGAGAAAGAAGGGGAGAATCGTAGGTTTTTCTTGAAATCTAGAGGAAGATGAAAGAAAATAGCTACAATTGAGGGAAATTCATGGGTTTCTTCAGCAATGATGATGAAGGAGGAGAAAGAAAACGCTTGATTTTTTTTTTTTGAAATTATGTTTGACCGGGATAAACGTTAGCCATTGGATACAATTGATCCAACGGTTGTAATATGTCCTCACATATACCAGGTTCTCACATAAGGGATGTGGTCTCCTATGATCCCATATATATATATATATATAAAGCCCGTACGATGCACGGTTTGTTTATATTTTTTTCAAATAAAATATTTCACTTTGAAATGAATTGTTAATTTTATTTCTCATATATCTTGAAAAAACTCTTTTTTATGTAAACATTTATCATAATGTTGGTTCATTAATCACCCAAATAAATCATTTAATTTTTTTTCATGATAATTATTAAAAATTAATAATGTGTCACTCTGATTTTTTTTTATTATTATTATAATCCTACTTAGTGTTTTAAAAAAAAACTAATCTGATGTGGCATACTCCTATTGTAGCGTTTTTAAAATATTAATCTTACGTGTCTCTTTTTTTTATTATAATCCTACGTAGCAATATTAATATTCGAAAACTTTTGTTCACGGATCATAAAAGGCAACCACGATTAAGGAACAACGAAAAGTAACAACAATTGACCCGTGAAGGTTACACCCCATTCATAATTCATGAGATTACTAACTCTATATGGTTCGGAACCACGAAAGGAGGATCGGGGATGATGGTTCGAAGTGAGTCACGTTGTCACGTTCGCCCGTATTGGCCTCTACTCGATTCTTATTACGAAAAGTATTCCTGCAATCTCAAAGGCATGCAAACAAAGATTCAATTTGCTCCAAACTATTATTAGGCTAAATTGGTTGAATGTTAATGCAACACATAATTCTAATTATTAGTGATCACTTCAATTAACAAAAAGATTAAAAAGGAACGTAAACCGATCGTCCAAATTATCTTATTAAGCGTTATTCAACTACATATTCCCTTTAACATGCAATATGGTGATCATAAATATAACAAAATAAACATCAACATTGGAAGCAATTTAACCATAAATCCAACAATTAATATATGACAAACAAAATAAAAATCGTTAGAGATATAATAAGAACAAAAGGAACATAATTCCTTACTTTGATTGCGTTTGCTTGCAACTATAAAACAATAAACGTGTTAGTAACTTCAAGGAAAATAATAAACAATAATGGAAATTATATTAAATTAAAGTTATTGATTTGAGGCCAAACCCTCAAACAGTTCTACCTTTCACGTCTTGGTTTAAGTGTGGAATTTCGGGTAAAGTATGGACTCCGGGGAGTGCTTAGGGTATGTATGGTGGAAGAATAGGGTAGGCTAGTGTTTAGGCTAGAGCATAAGAGAGAGAAGAGAGAATGATTTGGTGCCCTGAAACTGAGAAATCAACCTCGTATTTATAGAGGAAATGAACAGGGTGATGCACAAAACCCTAAAAATAAAATGCGCCGCGGAGGGAACCCTAGAAATTGCCGCGTCACGACAGGATTTGTCGCAACACGGCGCCGTTTGCCGTGACACGGCAAGATTTTCCGTTGCACGACATTTCTGTCGTGACACGGCAAATCTGTTTTCCAGATTTCCGTCCAAATTCATTTCTTAATCATTAAGTACATGATAATTTAAGCGTCGTTTCAGCTGTTCCGGGCTTATTTCAGGTTTAGGCTTTTGTTATTTTATTAATCGGGCTCAACACGAAATGAATTAAAAAGGGTTTGGGCTAAATGAGAGTTGGACTGAGTTTGCATAAATATTTGGACTGATCTGTTGACTGATTTGCATGCTTATGTTCGATTGAATGTGGACTTTTAAGTACTCCCGAGATTAAATACTCGACCCGACCAATAATGGCGGTGAAAGGTTGTTCATCATCGGGTTTGGTTTTGGGGAGACATTTTTAGATGTCTACAGAAATGAATTTTATGATAGAAATAAAACCGAGTCATAGGATATTTATTAAAATTTATGATTAATTTTGTATATATAAAATATTAGAAGTATAGTGATGATAAAACTCTATGCAATATTTTTATCTTAAAAAAATCTATCCAAAAATCGCTTATTTATCTTCACGTGTGTCACAATAATACCTATTTGTCGCCTACGTGGTGTAACACTTGGTGAAAAATTGGAATGACAAGTGTCGTTGTCTCGTGATCTGGCTGTGAGACCGACTTTATATATTAGTGATATGATATTAGATTAGATTGTATATGATACCAAGTAAGCGAATATTAGATAGATTTTCTAAGATAAAAATATTGTATAAAGTTTTATTATCGATATACTTCTAATATTTCATATATACAAAATTAATCCTAACTTTTCCTATAACTTGGTTCTAAATCCATTATAAAATTCGTTTTGAAAAGTTTGTAAAACAAGATCCATTTAGTAGTATAATATATTTAATTTATTTAAAAAATAATAGAGAACTAGTAAAAATAATTTTTAATTAATAAAAATAACTTCAAGTACACAATAACATAGATATCTATATACAAACAAAACTACAAAAATTACACTATTATATAAATAAGCGATATCTTCTTTCTTTTCTCTCTCCTCTGTTCTTCATCTTCCACCCCAATATTCTCTCTCTTCTCCCGATCTGCATCTTTATTTTTTTCTTCTCGCTACTGTGCCCCATCTCTCTTCTTCTTCGCTAAACTAGGCTAGGTATATTTGATCTTATCCCTATTTCTCTCCTCATATTCTCTGATTTGGGCTCTCTACTACAAGCAAGAGTTATTCGATCTGTCATCAACCGAGTCTCAAATCATGAAGAATATGTTCCCATAAGGTTCACAAAAAAAAATCTAAATCTGGGGAGAAAGAACTCATATCTGACCATCCTATTGACGAAGATGAATTTGATCCTTTGTACTGATTAAGCTTTCAGAGAAATTAAATATAGCAGAAGAAATAACCAAAATGATTAGAAAGTTGTTCTCATAAGGTTTAAATTTTGCTTTGCTTCCCTGGAAACAAAATTTCAGACCTTACTTTACTCATATTACCCGTGTTGATCAATGGGTTAAAATCCATTTAGTAAAGTAAGGGGAAAGTGAAAGGAAAAAAAAAGAGCTGACTCTAATGCTTCTAAGTTAATTCAAGAAGAAGAAAAAAAAGAAAGGTGGACCCAAAGATTATAAAGGCAAATTGATTCAAAAAAAAAATTGATCGTATTTAACATTCAAACCAAAAAGTTTATTATAAAATTTTATCAATAATCTTGACATCGTAGCACAAAACTAGTAATTATATATATGTCAACAATGTGTAATATAATATAATATAATGTAGTTTCACGTAATTTGTTAATTTATGAATAATGTTAATATAATTATATATGTGTGTGTTATCGTTCACGCCTTCAAAGAGATGAAAAATTCTTTTTTCACCCATTTTATTCCTATTCCCACGTCACTTTTCAGTTTTCCAACTTTTCGCACCTTGACGTTACTTCCATTAGCTAATCTTTACCCCTTTGGTGGTTGTCTTCTGAGACATGTCTTGATTTCTCCTACTAAGATGACAAAACCAATGATGTAAAAAATATATCGGTTGAGTTTCCCAATTATCAACGCAATAGCGATTTTTAATTTCGGACAAAGTGAAAGTTTGGAGATTTAGTGGCTGTACAGGTTGCTTTTCATCAATGTTGGGCCACTCTCCTCCACAATCAACATAGTTTTTTAAATCTTTGAACAATTGATCAACTTGATCACGATACCCTAAAAAACTGTAAGACTTAAACATAAAACAGGATGATGTTTAGGCTAAGTTAACAAGTGGGGTTTTCAAGCAATTGACGTATATTTTGTGATTTATTTTTTTCTTTTTTATATTGAAAAAAATAAATGCATAGAAGGAAGCACTAGAGCAGAAAAATAGAGAGGAAGTAGATGGAGATGAGAGTTGTGAGAGATGAGCGGTGGAATGAAATTAGGGGATTTTGTTTTGGATCATTGAGTAAAGGAGAAGCCAGAAAAAATAATATAGGGTTTAGAGTAAGGAAGAAGCTGGTTGTGGCCCAAGTCCAATCCGACAGTCTATCAAGGGCCTTATTGATGATGGGTAGATTATTAGGTACCAAATACCAATAATGAATAATATACCACTAGATTAGGTGCGGTTAGCACTGTCAAAAACCGAACCGAACTGGTGAAATCGAATCGTTTCAACCGATCCGAATGAGAACCGAATCGATTAAAAATCAATTTTATGAAACCGAAAACTGACCCGAACCGCATGTTAGTAAAACCGAAACCGAACCGATCCGAGTAAACGTTAAACCGTTTAAGAACCGAACCAAATCTAAACCGAACCGTTTCTAACCCGAAACCGTTTAAACTGGCATAAAAACCGTTTACACCGAACCGTTAACAAATTGCAACCCGTTTGCACTGAACCGTTTATAAACCAAACCGCTAATAAACCGAACCGTTTATGAACCGAATCGCTTATAATTCAAACCGTTTACAAACCACTTCCTACTAGGAGTATTTTGAACGACTCGATAAAAATCCGATTTTTTTAAATCAAAAACAGACCCGAACCGTAATTTAGTAAACCTAAAATAAAACTGATCCAATTAATGTTAAATCGTATAAGAACCGAACTCGTTAGCAAACCGAACCAGTTATAAATCGAACTAAAATAAAACTGAACTAAAAAAGAATCGAACCGTTTCTAACCGGGATAAAAACCATTAACAAACCGCAACCCGTCTGCACCGAACCGTTTACTACCCGGACCGTTTACAACCCGAACCGAATTTAAACCGGGATAAAAACCGTTTTCACCGAACCGTTAACAAACCGCAACCCGTTTGCACCGAACCGTTTACTACCCAAACCGAATTTAAACCGTTCAAGAATAAACCGAAACCGAATCGAACCGATAATTATTTAAACCGAACTGAAACCGACCCGTAAGACATTTGAACCGATTTCAAACTGACCCGATTTCAAACCAAACCGAAACCGAACTGTCAAACCGTTTTGACAGTACTAGGTGCGGTGGATTAGTTGAGGTTTCAATCTCTAACTTTGCAAACGGTTGGTTTATTATTAATAAGTTTACAAACCCTATTGATAAAGCAAAATTTTGGGACAATAGACCTTGGTTTGTGCAGGGTTTAAATTTTGCTTTGCTTCTGTAGGCGTCATTCGAAGCGCGCCTACTTAAGCATGTTGTGAATATGCTTGGTACTCATAGGAAGTGGGAATTGACATACAATTAGGGACACGATTAGAGACCAAGCAAACTAGGGAGCCGCCAACAAGTTTTTAAGGAACTTGTAAATCGTTCACGGATCATTTAAGGCAACTACGATTAAGGAACAACGATTGACCCGTGAAGGTTACACCTCATTCATAATCCATGAGATTGCTAACTCCATATGATTTGGAACCACGAAAGGAGGATCGGGAATGATGGTACGAAGTGAGTCATGGAGTCACATTCGCTCGTATTAATTACTCACGATACTAATACAATAACGTTAGTCAAATTATAACATAATAATAATAATATTAGCAATAAGAATAACAATAATAATAGTAATTAAGTGAATTAATTACTCACATTCCACGCTTCTTTAAATTGCTACATCATGAAATAAAACGTTAGTAACTTCAATAAAAATATAAATTAAATTGAAATTAAATTAAATAAAAGTAAAGTTGATTTGGTCCAAATCCTCAGTCCGTTCTACCTTTTACGCCTTGATTTAAGTATAGAATTTCGAGTGTTGTATGAACTCCGGGGAGTGCTTAGGGAATGAATGATGAAAGAATAATAACTAGGAGAATAGATTTAAGGCTTAAAATAAGAGAGAGAGGAATTAGAATGTGTGTTAGTTAGTGCATAAGAGAGAAAGAGAGAATTATTTGGTGCCCCGAAACTGTGAAAATCAGCTTCATATTTATAGAGGAAATGTGAGGGGGTGAGGTACGAAACCCTAGAATTGAAGCGCCGTGGATAAATAAACCCTAGAAATTGCCGTGACATGGCAATGTCTGCCGTGTCACGGTATTTTTACCATGGCGCGGTAATTTCCAGTTTTTACTCGTTTTTAAATCTTCTATAACTTTTGATCCGTAACTTGAAATAAGGCATATAATATATCGTTGGAAAGATATTTAAGAATAATTTCCAACCCAATTAGAATCAAGTAAAAATTATTTTGTATATTTTAAGATATGGCCGTTTTAGTGCAAGGTTGTCGGTTTTGGGCCGAGGTTTAGTGTTTTGCTCATATCTTCTTTGTTTTAAATCGGAATTGGGCTTATGATATACCGTTGGAAAAATTATTTCAAGGAATATCCAACAAAATATTATTTGGATAAAAATTATAGGGCCACAAAATCATTTTAGCTCAGTTTTGTGATGTGGATACGAAAAGTGGAAAATAAGTTATGGTTTGGGGAAATGGGATAAGAATTGGGTTGGTTTATGAAATGTATTAGATTTAATATGGATTTAAGCATTCCAAAGATTAAATACTCAACCCCACCAATAATGGTGGTGAAAGGTTGTTCATCATCGGGTTTGGTTTTGGGGAGACATTTTTAGGTGTCTACAGCTTCCTTGAAAACAAAATTTCAGACCTTACTTTACTCATATTACCCGTGTTGATCAGTGGGTTAAAATCCCTTTTTTGCCTAATGAGTATTGATCCTGAGTTAACTAGTTGTATTGGTAAGTTTGTTAAGCTTGATAAATTCACTACCCAAAATGATGGGAAAGCTCAATTTGCTCGTGTCTACTGTTTGAACATCAAGATAGGTTTTTTTTTCCTTGTCTTATGAGGGTGTGCATGAGGTTTGTCCCTTGTGTGGTAACAAGGACCATTCTCTAGGCTCTTATCCGAAAAAAACCTTCTTCTTGCTTGGATTTAGTGATTGCTCAGTTTGAAGCTCGCAACTTAAACTCCACTGTTAATCACTCTCCCTCTCATCCGAATGAATACATTTATGTCAAGCCTCAAAGAAAAGGTAGAGTCTTCTTTGCTGGTCGAGGTGGTAGGGGTAGGGAGAGGCGTGGCTCTCATTATTCCCCGGCCCTAACAAAACTACCCCTCAACCAGAGGAGGCTTTTCCGGTGTTTCTGGTTCTGCTCATGTGTCTCCAACACATGCTATTAGCAATAGCACTTCTTCTGCTTCTGATGCAATGGTTCATGTCTCTAATGCCTTCGCCACTCTTGGTGAATTTCAAATTACTGATGGTCATCCCATTACTTTGATGCCCCCGCCTTCCACATCCAATGATATTCTGGAAAATGATATTGATGCTTCTGGAGATGACCTGGATGATGCTTTTTTTTCTTTCTCAGTTTTGATGTTGAAATGATTGTGTCCTCTCCTGTAGCAGAGGTCTCTACTTCTGATTTTGAGCTCGGCCTTGTCTTATACACCAACTATTCAAGATCAAGTAATCAACGTCATTGTTGTAAATCGTCGAGGTGCCATGTTTATCAATTCCGACGAGTTCAATGGTGTGGAGAAAACATGGGTAGTCATAGCTGATTATTTGCTCAAAGTAATTGAAGAGATTGGCCCCTCAAATGTTCTCCAAGTTGTGACAGACAATGCCAAAAATTGTATCGCCACCGGAAGAGAAATTGAAAAGGTACATAAGCACATATTCTGGTTTCCATGTATGTGTCATACTTTAAAAAAATTAAGTGAAAAATTTGAGCAATCTTTATTCTTGTTGTAAAACCGATCACAAATTATTTTAATAATACAATTTTTTATTTATAGTTGCCCAAAATTTTTTAAGAAAGATTTATGAAATATATATATATATATATATATATATATATATATATATATATAATATTATTCTTGTAAATGATTTGTTTCCTTAATTAATAGGTTTTTTTAAAAATTAAAAAAAAATTAAAAAAAAAAAAACTAAACACACTCCAGGAGATAAAACGTGCCATGGCTGGTGTGTTTTTTAGTATATTATTATTATTATTATTATTATTATTATTATTATTATTATTATTATTATTATTATTATTATTATTATTGATATTGATTATTGATTATTGATTTTTCATCAATATATAAACATGGCAGAATTGAATATAGGAAAAATTTCAGGAACTACTTACTTAACAGGTCAATTTGTTAACAACTACTCGCTAAAATGTTTTTTTTAAAAAAAAAAAAAAATACCCCCTAAATTTAAAAAGTTTGAGTAGCAATACCCATTTTCATTTTCCGGCAACTAATTCCGGCGAGTGGGGCCCATTTGTTATTTTCTCTCCAAAAAAACATCTCACCCTCGTATATATTAAGGGTGAGCAAAGATCCAGGGTACCCGGTACAGGACCCGGAACCGATTAGGACTCGCCGGGTCCGGACCCAGAACTGGTCTCACCGGTTCCGGGACCGGGTCCAAAATTTCGGACCCGGATGTAACCGGTTTCGGTTCCAAATCCTAAAATTTTGGACCCGGTACCCACTGGGTACCCGGTTGTATATGATATAGTATGTGGATTGTTTGTATTTTTAAGAAACTAAAGAGTTATGTACAACCCAATTTAATTTCTAAGCTCAATTGCTTATAAAACTCTCAACCCACTATCAAACAAAACCCTAAAACTTCTAGATTTTTCTCTCCGCTCTACTATACCGGTTACCCAACATATATTGTACAAAATATATTTAAAAAAACAAAAATATGTTGAACGTAACTAATTAGTAGAATAAAAAAATATATTAATATTTAATATAATTAAAATAGCTTAATGTATATAAAAATATAAGTATTAAACGCTAAAAGTATAAATAAACCAAAAAAAAATTATGATTTGTATTATATTTCAACACTTATATAGATAAGTGAGTACCCGGAATCGGAACCAGTACCCGGTGGAACCAATTCTTTAAATTAATTGGTGATTTTCACAAAGATTTGGTTTTTTAGATTGAATCTTTGCAAAGAAGAGGAGGGTTGGTCAATATATACGAGGGTGTTATTTTTTTGAAAAAAAAAATAACAAGGGCCTCGCTTGCTGAAATTAATTGCCGGGAAATAAAAAAAGGTAGTGCTACCCAAACTTTTTAAATTTAGGGGTAGTTTTTTTATAAAACTTTTTAGCAAATAGTTGTTCACAAATTGACATGTTAAGCGGGTAGCTCCTAACAATATTTCTTTTAATATATTGTAAAGTAATTAATTTTAAAATTACTACACTCGTTGTGTGCATAAGATGCTAGTATTGTATAAGCCAGTAGCTAACATGTTAGTGTCCACATAAAAGGTCAATTTATACATAATCTCAATGACTTAACTTGAGATTTGATTTTCACCAGAAAATGATAATAACTTGAATTCGACCTAAAACTTTAATTAACCTAACTTGAGTTGAATCCAACTCAATTTTAAACTTGAAATCAGCTCGACCCGAACTTGCTCTGACTTGAATTCGACCTGATTCAAAATAAACTCGATTAGGTGATGACCTAATTTAACTCTAAATAACTCTAAACAAAATTGATCAAATACTAAAAAATAATAACTATCGTCTAAAACAACCTTGTACCAAATTATCCCTTAAACAACAAATAATTTCTTTGGTTTTTATTTTTATTTTTACTAGCAAAACTTTTTTATTTCACGCTTGTTTCTTCAATGCATAATTTCAATTGTCAACATCTTTAATTACCAATATGTAAAATTATAAAGATTTAATATTGGGATAAAATAAATCGAGACAAATCTAACAAAAATATATGGCTATTTTAAAAAAAAAAATTATAAATCATCAAATTTAGTCAAAATAGAGTAGAAGAGTAATGACAAAGTCCAAATGTTAATGTTGCAAATTAAATAAAAGAATTTCCTAAATATATATATATATATATATATATATATATATATATATATATATATATATATATATATATATATAAAGAAAAAAGTATAGTACTCCTTTTAATTTTTTAAGTGAACCAATTTGACTTTTTGCACTATTCATCTAATCCACTTTAACTAATGTTAGTGATTTACACACATAATATATAGTATTGTAACTATTTGTTGGAATTAACATGCAATTGTTATAATTTTTACTCATTAATAATTAAAGAAATTGTTGTTCAAAGTTTTGCATTTGCATACATGCACAAAAGAAAAGTTTCACTTACAAAAACGGGGGGAGAATATTTATATGATATCATGAATATTTCATTTTTAATTCACCTGCCCTATAGGCTTGAAATCACTCACAAAGTCAATTTGACACTTTGATGGTAAAGATTTCCTTTAAACTTCCACCAATTTTAATTTTTTTTTTTATTATTATTTTATTTTATTTTTACGGACCCTTCCCTCTGCTTTAATTTGAGAGTTAGTAGGGAAGAAAGGTTAGAGAAATCCTAGAGGTAATCAATAATGGCCTAGCTCACTAGCCCGGCCCAAAAATATGGCGAACTTGGACAAGCCTAAAATGCATTTTTAGTTAAAAACCCGAACAGTTAGCATTGGCTGGACTCGCGCCCAGCTAGAGCTAGCTGGTCCTGCGACCAAAAATGAACATTTACTATAACGAAAATGAACATTTTCTACCTGAAAATATTTTACAATTTTGTTCATAATAAAATCAATATATATTCATTCTCATATGTTTTATGCTCACTTGTGAATAATTTACTATTGAAGAGTATATTAATAATGTTCAAGTTAATATTAGCAAAATGTTCATAATCATAAAACTGTATGTTTATTTGTATATCACGTTAATAAAAAAAATTATATATATATTTATTTCAATTTTCAAAAATATGAAATTAGATGTTCATTTGCATTACGGATGTTTTTTATTTCTCAATAATTAGATGTTCATTTTCATGCAGTATGATATTCATTCTTATAAAATAAATATTCATTTTCATGCAGTATGATTTCACTTGAAACTTAAAAAAATGTTGATTATTAAGCAACAACATTATATGTTCATTTTTACTTACAACTAAAATGTTCAATTATATAATATTAGATATACAATTTTATTTTTATTTTCTGTTTTATAGTCTCTTGATTTTACTCTTATGTTATAAATATTCATTTTTATATATTGCAATGTTAATTTCAAGTTTTAGATATTTCTTTCTTTAAATTTGGAATTCATTTTTCATTAAAAAAGTGTTCATTTTTATTTATCGAAATATTCATCTCAATTGTCTGATATACATTTGCAGTTGTAATGTTAATTTTCAAATATGTTCAATTACTAAATGTCCATGCATTCCAATATATATATATATATATATATATATATATATATATATATATATATATATTACTAAATGTTCAATTTTTTTTTTAATTTCTAGTAAATGTTCATTTTTGTTGGGGAGGACCAGCCACTTTCAAATATGTTCAATTACTAAATGTTTATTTATTTTTTATAGTAAATGTTCATTTCTGGTCGCGGGACCAACTAGCTCTGGTTGGGCGCGAGTCCAACTTAAATTTTGCAAAACTCAAACCCTGCCCGAAAAAAATCGAAAAGTCCGCTTTGGCCCAACAAGCCTGCTACTTTTTTGAGGGTTTGGGCACGAGATATGATTTAAGACCCGGCCCGATTTTTAGATCATCTCTTGGAAATCCCTACCTTCAAAGTGTTTGTAGTGGGGATTGTACTCTTAACCTCAAGGTTGAAAAACTTAACTCTACTCATTATGAGAGATTAGCGTACCAAATACTTCGTATCAAAATTTAGTTTTTTCTCGTCTTATACTCAATCTTAATGGATAATTAATTGCATAAGTGTGTGATAAATTTTATTATGTTTCAATACTAGATTAATATCCATGTGACGCACTGATTAATTTTTATGTAAAAATGTAGGTTTGTCTTTTAAAAAAAGTTGTAATTATTGTGGAATTGAAAGGTATGATGGTAAAAGAGAGATTACACCTTTCTAATCAAACAAGATCTCATATCAAGAGACTACTTAGATTTCAATGGTAATGGAATACACAAAGATATCACAAATATCAATCACATAAAAACAATAACAAAAATCATAATCATTACAGATTTTGGGACTTTTTTTTACAACAACAAAACCTATCAACCTTAACAAATTTTTTAAAAAAATAATTAGAAAAGGAAAGAAATCAGAATCAAATTAAAAATAAACTAGATAAAAGCCTGTGCGATGCACGATTTTTCATACATATATCTCAAGAAAAGATATTTTCTTATATACTCTAATTTTTTTTTTTCTTTTTATATAATTATTTGATTTATTTTACAATTTAATAATTTCAGACAAAAGAAAAAACCAAATAATAATTTAATTAAAATGATATTGTCAATTACAAAAGTATAATTTTTTTAATGTAATTTATAATGCGACTTAATTTATTGTTATTTTGTATTTTATTCATTGTTGTTAGTTATATGAAAATAATATGATCTTTCAAAAAAAAAATTGTAAATATGATATTTCATTGATTAAATATTAGGATAAAATCTTTAATGTGAAAAGATAATAATTTTTTATTTTTGATATAATTTAAATTCTAAATCATTATTCGTTTTTTTTACACTTAAAATTAAACTCTCAAATCTATGTATCATTTTGTATATTTCCGATTTCTTGATCTCTAACAACTTATCTGTCTTTTTAATTTTTTTGACATAAAATGTTAAAAGAAGGTAAAGTTTTTTTTTTATTGCGTTATAAGTTTTAAATTTTTTTTATGAAAAAAACATCTTATTAATCGGGTATTTAGATAAAACTATTAATTTGCTTGGTTTGGTTTTGTATTGATACGAAATTTTTTTGGTATCATATGATGCGTCAATTTATAATGGTAAATGTCATAAATTTTAATTTAATTTTAATTAAGGGATAATTTTTATTTCTTATCATAAACACTATCAAAATTTATCTTATAATAGTAGGTATGTAAATCCTATATTTAAAGATGATTATTTTAAAAGATAATTTTTAGTTTTTTAAATAAATTAAATCCTAATAAATCAATATTCGTTGTTTTTACTTACGTGGCAAAATTCTTAAATCTCATTCGTCACTTTTGTTTAGGTGCAAACGAATTTTTTAATTCCAAAATAAAATAGAAATCTAATTTTTAATTGGTCGAAAATATACCTTTGCTTATGTGGCGCTCCGAACGCTCTCCAAATATGCCTACTTTATATATATATATATATATATATATATTAGATTTGTTGATTTGTTACCTTAATTAAAATGAAAAGAGAAAGAAGCAATAAAAAAGGAAACAGATCCAAAATTCCCAACAAAACAGATTGTAACTGCCATTGCTGTTCGTTAGTTGTTGAGTGTACGTCACACACTCTCTCTCTTTCTCTCTCACACACTTTTAAACATTATTTTCAGTCAAGAGACCAAACAAAACGCAAAGATACGCCACGTCATCATTCTTAAAATCCTCAAAAATAATCAAATGATTATTAAAAAAAAAAAAAAAAACAAAACAAAAAATCACTTTTTCTTTTAAAAAATATATCCCCTAATTCGAAACGCCCACGTTTCGGAAAGCTCAATACTATAAATTAGACTCAAATTTTCCTGACTAATTCCACCTTCTGTTTTATTTCTTCCTCCTTTTTTTTCCTTTTTTTTTTAATTAAAAAAACCAAAAAAAATTGGTGGAAGAAAAATTCTTTCTTTAATCTTCCATCATTCCTTAATTAACTGGTCCAAACCCCAGAAATTTTTCAGCCATATATCAGAAAACCCTGACTCATAATTCTAAAATTCTTGATAAATTTTGATCATAATATTTTTTTGTATTGTAAGTGATTTAATATAATTTAGATGGAGACGGCAGTAGGAACCCAAAACCAACCCTCATCACCCGTCGTCGTAGCCGGTCAGGGAACAACCCCGGTAGCGAATACCGAGGTGGGGGGAGTGTTTGGGAATCTGTCATTGTATGTAGGTGACTTGGATGCAACTGTGAATGAAAGTCAGTTGTATGAACTGTTTAATCAAGTTGCTCCTATTGTGTCTGTAAGGGTTTGTAGGGATCAGAACAAACGATCCCTTGGTTATGCTTATGTCAATTTCTCTTCGCCTCAAGATGGTTTGTTTATCTTAATCTCTTGTTTACATTGCCCTTAATTTTACCAAGTATTTTTTTTTAGATTTTGTGTTTTTTAATTATTTGTTGTAGATTGGATTTTGAGTTTATTATGAATTTATTATTTGGGTTGTGTAAATCGTGTTAGTATGTATTATTGATACAATGTGATAAAATTCTCTGTTTTGATTTTGTTGGATTGATTAAATTTTATCCTTTTAAGGGTAAAGGGAAAGTATAAAAGTTGAATCGAATTCCTTTATTCAATCTGTTGTTAGCTCTAGCTGTAATGTTGTTTCTTTCACACAGTATACTTGTTGAATGTAGATCATGGCGTCGGAAAAGTGACAAACACTAGATGATATGATAAGGGATCCAAATCAAAAAGACCAAATTTTATAATGTACCATCGTAAGCATTTAGTAGAGGAGAAGATTAGATGATTTGTATGATTATCATTCTCATAATATATTTTTTAAGAGAATTATATTGTTTATAAGAATGTCTATTTCTAAAATTTTCCAAGTCTCCTTGTGCCCATCTAACTTTTCCTGTGGTCCTGTCCTGTCCTGTCCCTGATTTGTCTTTCTCCAACAATGCGGCCGTATCATGGTTTATCATCACTGCCCGAATCAAGCCTGACATTCCTTTACTTTAACTCACTTCCGCGATTCTTATTATAATTAACTATGTGAAACTATAAACTTTGTAGAAAGGGCAGTAGGAAAGTGTATTGTAGATACTTCAAATCATTGTTATTAAATTGAGCTACTTTATTATGTTATATACTTATATCCCTCCCTTTCCCCCCTCCTCAAGACAAAAAACATAATAATGTTGATAAATAAAATAAACAAAATGATGTTGCTATTTTTTTCTGTTGCTTCATTTGGAATTTCTTTATGCAGCTGCAAGTGCCATGGAGGTTTTGAATTTCACGCCTGTAAATGGCAGGCCTATTCGGATTATGTATTCTCATCGAGATCCTAGCCTGCGAAAGAGTGGATTTGCTAATGTTTTTATCAAGAATTTGGATTCCTCTATTGATAACAAAGCACTGCATGACACATTTGCTGCTTTTGGTGCCATACTTTCCTGCAAGGTAGCTATTGATAGCAGTGGCCAATCTAGAGGATATGGATTTGTACAATTTGACCGAGAGGAAGCTGCACAGAAGGCAATCAATAGTTTGAATGGCATGTTGTTGAATGACAAACAAGTGTATGTTGGATCTTTTGTTCGGCGTCAGGAAAGAAACGGAGATGGATCACAAAAATTTACTAATGTTTATGTGAAGAATTTATCTGAAAATTATACTGATGAGGACCTTATGAAAGCTTTCAGCCCATTTGGTTCCATCACAAGTGCTGTTGTGATGAAGGATTCGAGTGGAAAATCCAGATGTTTTGGTTTTGTGAACTTCCAAAGTCCTGAATCTGCAGCAACTGCTGTTGAAAAGTTGAATGGAACGGTTCAGGATGACAAGACTTGGTATGTAGGGAGAGCTCAAAGGAAATCAGAGAGGGAAGCAGACTTGAAAGCTAAATTTGAACAAGAAAGAATCAGTCGCTATGAAAAGCTGCAGGCTGCTAATTTGTATTTGAAAAATCTTGATGATAGCATAAATGAAGAAAACCTGAAGGAATTGTTTTCTGAGTTTGGAACTATAACATCATGCAAGGTATCTCTAAGCTAAAATTATATATCGTTAATATTTTTCCTTTTGTTGAGTTTGCTAATTTTCGGGTTTATACTGTTATTGCTGTAGATCATGCTTAATCCTCATGGTGTTAGCAAGGGCTCTGGTTTCATTTCGTTCTCAACCCCAGAGGAAGCAACAAAAGCAGTATTCATCTCGTCTTTCATTTCACTCAGTTTGATTTTAGAAGTTTGGATATTTAAACTCAGTTCTCAACCCAAGGCTCAGGATATTAACATGTTTTTTCTAATCTTTTCAGTTAAATGAAATGAATGGTAAGATGATAGGAAAGAAGCCTATATTTGTTGCTATTGCCCAACGCAAAGAAGAACGGAAAGCAAGGTTGCAGGTAAATCTGTTTGCATGACCACTTGCTTGAAATTTTCAATGAACATCTTTGTTTTTGGTTCAAAATTATGGACAGATGCACAGTTAAAATTATTAAGAATATATGCAGCTGTGTTTTAAATTAACATATTATCTCATTTTTGAGATTCTGTGACTCAAGCCCATACATTATTTGATGTGTGCTAGAGGAGCTGAAATTTCTTTATTCTTAGGAGAGATGGTTTGGGACAAACTGCAAACTGTTTGGAGCTTATAGAAAGGCAATACTTTTTTTTTACACAAGTATTGTATTCCCGTTAGCTAGAATTGCTGATAGTGCAGCAGTTGCTTATACTTTAAATGAGCTTAATAATTAGCTTGGATGTGCATATACTTCTCTGGCCGTTCTCCCTATTCTCTGTTTAAGTTAAGCATTCTAAGTTGACCTGTTTATTAAGTTATTATGTTTATACTTAATTTGGTTAATATATATCCCTTTAAATTGGCATCAGAAATAACTCACCTCTCCTTTTTCAGGCTCACTTTGCTCAAGCTCATCTGCACGGAGGAATGGCACCCCTGCCGACTGGGATGCATGGATTCTATCCTGGGTCACCTAGACTTGCTCCTCAACAGCTTTATTTTGGCCAAGGTGCTCCAGGTATGCTTTCCCCTCACCCTGCAGGATATGGGTTCCAGCAGCAAATCTTGTCAGGGATCCGTCCAGGAGTTCCCCCAAACTTTGTGATGCCTTTCCCCGTCCAGAGACATGGGCAACCTGGACAACGTGTAGGTGGAAGGAGAGGTGGTAATGCTCATCAGTTGCGGCAAGAGCAACAGGTGCTTTTATCCCTTCTTTTTTTCTCTTTTTAATCATGTCATTCTTCAGTCTTTAGAAGGCATCAGTTTTACGCCATTATTTCTGGGTGATTGTAGACTGCAAATCGCAATGGTGGTCAGAGTTTCAGATATATGGCTAATGGACGAAATGGCCTTGATTCGCCTGTGGCTCCTCAAGGTCTGGGAAGGCCATTGATGCCAATGACCTTGGATGTTTCTGGAATGCCCTTAAATGCTGCTGATTTTGCAAGATCTGGCTCACTGTCAGTGCCAACACTTGCTTCTGCCCTGGCTGCTGCATCTCCTGACAGTCAGCGTATGGTATGCTTTTAAATAACTGCTAATGTTTGAGTTTAATGATATTTTCTATTGGCACATCTTTCCTCCTAAAGTCATTATCACTTTCTTCCATTGAACTTTTACATGAGTTGCTTCAAACTTTTACATTGTATTCTTTGTTCATAAAGTTGCTTTGACATCGTCACAGATGCTAGGGGAACAATTGTATCCATTGGTGGACCGTCTTGAGCATGATTATGCAGGAAAAGTCACTGGCATGCTGTTAGAGATGGACCAGACAGAAGTACTGCACCTTATTGAGTCTCCTGATGCTCTCAAGAAGAAAGTTTCTGAGGCCATGGATGTTCTCCACTCATCTACCTTAGGTTCTGAAGCCGGTGACCAACTTGGCTCACTTTCAGTTACTGATTGAGCCATTCATAATCTTCTCATTGATACTCTTTTGCTGGGAAGGCCCATATTTTTGAGGGCAGGTTGAACTGTCAGTTATGGGCTGTACTTTAAGAATATCTTTGAGATGTTAGACTAATTAGGATTTCATTTAGGTTGCTTAACTCATTATAGCACAGGATTTGCTTCTTTTAAACTGTTTTTTTCAGAACACAGTTGACAGAAGGTTATTCTGGTTATTATAACTTGGGATTTTTGGATATTGTCATTTTAGTTTCATGGGGATATCATAGTTTAGGTTTCCTCATGGTCATTTTGGATTTTTGATATGAGGATATCATTATTGGGGTTTTGGATTTTATTTTTTTTATTGATAAATTTTAGTGATGGGATTTTTCTAAATGCTGTTTCAGAGCTGCAATATTTTAAATTTTGACACTTTCGTGTGAAGTTTGCTAATACTCTCTGCTTTATACATGGCTGTGAGTTTGTGACCTGTGAGCCTCATAATTTCTGCATGGAGGCATAAGGCCTTTATGATCTGATGATGAGTTTGTAATGGTTGATCAGACCTACATGTTTTCTGAGGCTAAGAAGAGGAAGGGGATGATTTATTTCATCTATTATCGTTAAATATGTGCTTTCTTCATTATATGCAATTAGATCATGTTGATAAGAGATGTGCAAAAAACTCGTATATGTCACAGTCAAAGCATTTTGACAAGGCACTTTCTATGCAAAGTTGATATTGGTTGGTAAAAGGTCTCATTTTTCTTTGCCATACTTGACCTAAAAAAGTCACATGTATTGATTCTTTTGTCATTCTTTCAGATTTTGGATCAAACAATTGTGCTTAGGGACTTGGGGTTTTAATTGGGCAGGCTCATATCATGTTTTTAGGTTATGGAAAAATGTTGCCAGTTACTCGTAAGCAATCCACCTATTTCATGATGCATGATTCCTTTGCACTTAAGAACAAACTAGTGAGTAGCTCGGGTGTTGTCCCGGGTTACTACTTTTATAGTTGTGCAATTGCTAATTTATAAGAGCATTTAATAGTTTGTATATAATGTGTCTTCAATACTTTGTAGTATAATATTATTTATTGTATAATGTTAAAGCATAATTAACAATTAGCCTAGATGGTTATACAGTAATTTTTCTTCTAAGAGGTCAAGTGTTCGAACCTTTCGCCTTTTAATATATTAATATAGATTTGACAATCAAAATCACATGTTGCTTAGGAGAATTCTTTTTGCAAAAAATGCTAATTATTTCTACAGTCTAAATTTTCGAGCAGAAATTAAGACTACAAGAAAGTTTTTTTTTTTACAGTTCAAAGATCTCCCAATAACATTTCTTTCTATGCACTTTTCAAAATATCTATCTACATACACTTGAATCAGAAAATATCCATCAGCATATAACTGTAACAGACTAACAGCCAAATAAACATATTTCTGAAATCTGGAAAGTTACCTTCATCCTCCAATTTACGAGACATATTGAATGATTGAACAACACTACGAACATCTTTGGCTTGGTAACTTTGAGCATAGATCTTCGTTACCGATTGCTTTTGATTGCAGACCACACAATTCCATTTATTGCTGCTCTTCTTCTGCTGCTTCACCTAATTTACAAAAAATAAAAAAATAAAATAAAAAAAATTATTTCATTTTCAGCGAAATTTGATCGTCTAAAAAATGTACAACTATGAGAGCAAGAGAGTACCTGCATTGTGGAGCAATGGCAGCATTTGACGGCGATGAATAGCGTAGACTTGAACATCGCGGCAGCGGCAAAGCGAAGGTCCGGCAAAGATTGGAGGAGTTTTGAAATTGAAATTTATAATTGAGTTGTTTTTTGAAATTTCTTGATTATTTGAATAATTTTTGGCGCCTTTTTAAAATTGGTGTTTGGGGAAAAATGGACTTTTATAAGGGGCCTGGCCCAGCTTTGATAATTTACCATCTAGCTAGAAATCTTGATACGCTGATATTCACTCTAATCCACCCCAAAAAATGAATAAATAAATAAATAAAATAAACTAATGTATAGTCTGGCATTCTGGTAATACCCCAAATGTACTCCCTCCACCCCATTATTAAGTGTTCGTTTCTCTTTTTTTTTTTACGGGTTTTAATGCAAATGAAAGAAACATAAAAAGCATGTGTGAAGTACATTGCGAATAATTATAAAAGGTATAGTATTTTGTTTTTAAGTGGAGACTGAAAAAACATTTATGAAATACATGTGAGCACCCATTATAAAGGATATTTAGGGAATTTTATTATGTTAAAAAGGTATAAAGTGAGGGTATGTAGGTAATTATACATAAACAAAATAGAAATATGCACTTAATTTTGGGACACCCAATTATAAAAACAGACACTTAATAATGGGACGGGGGGAGTAGTAAACAATTTGTTCCGTAAGAACTAATGAGAAAAACAAAATACTCTCTCTGTTCCTATATAGTTGACACCCTTCTTTTTCGTCCATTTTTTAATAATTGACACATTACTAAAAATGACAATGACCTACTAATATTTAATTATTTTTCTATTTTACACCATGGCCCACCATTTTTAAAGTTTATACCAAAATAATCCCCACCCTCCACTCAAATATTCCACTAACTTCACTTTACAATGGCCCATGCTCTATTTTTATGAATAAACTAACATCTCACTAACACCAATTTACAATAAACAGTTTAATAAAACTACTATACTAGAACATTTCTCAAAATTCCGTGTTCATTTCAATGTGTCAATTAAATAGGAACGTAGAGAGTATAAAATATACCTCCTCAGTCAAAATTAGATATGTTTTGGGGTTTTCTGGATGTCCCATGAGAGTTTACAACACTAAATTTAGCCCATCGGATGTGATGTACCTGCAAAATAACGAAAATTAAACTGCGGTTTATCGGAGTTTCACCTCTGACAATTGAGTTAATTAGTATTGAAAAGAGGGTTGTAATAACTAGAAAGTAAAAGATCATAGTAATTTCCTCTATTTTCATGTGAATGTAATAATTATGTAATGTATATAGTTCATAAATGAACAGTAGGGAGCCTTTATTAAATGAATAGTAGGGAGCATTCATTTTCCTTTATAAAATTTGATCATTTTCCTTCCCCTTACCCCCTTCTAACTTGCTCTTTCATGGTTTTGTATATCACATAAATTACTTAATATGTTTTTTCCATGAAACAAATCATAATCTAACAATGTCTTTTAGTAAAAAACACTCAATGTTTTCTATGCAAATTTATCTTTAAGATAATCATAAGAGTGTTTTTCCTTTTATCATTCTTTTTCTTTTTTTTTTTTTTTAAAGTTTGTTGGTCTATAATGATATATAAAGAAAATAGGTGTTTTGGGTGATACATTTCACTATTCTAAATTACCACGTTTCAAACTTTTTTTAAGAAGAAAAAAATCTATTATCCTATCCTATTTTTCAACATAGTACAATTTATCAACCCTTTCAAATTTATCAATAAAAAAGCAATCCATCACTTCATCAACAGCTTCATTTTTTTTTTTTCTTTTTCATTTTTTAAAAAATTCTTGTTTACTAATATTTATTAATCTTAAATTAATCAACAGTTTTAAAATTTCGCACGCATTGCGTGTATTCTTGGCTTGTATTATAATGTCAATTCTTACTACAATTCCCACCTCCTTTAGTCCTTGTTATCTCTCCCTCCCTCTTCATTGTCTACTATCATCTTTCTCATATTTTCTCCCTCTTCCCTATCACAAATCTCCTTTCTATCCCTCTCCCCCCTACCCTGTTCTCTCATCCTCCCTCCCTACAACTTTTTTTTTATAAGCTCAACATTTTAGTAATCCTAATCCTATTGCCCCCCGTCCCCCATTTATATATAGTAAGTTCTTTTTAAGTGTTACATCCTCAACTCTAGAGATAACTCTTAAAAACAATCATGGCGGTTACTTTATAAAGACCTCGTTAGCTATACTACGAGAAATTTCAGGTTAAGGATGGTTTATAGATCATGAAATTCCCACAAATGGAATCGACTAAGCTCCGGCAAATATCTTTGCTGATTAATGTAACAAAGGCAAAAGGTTACATCTTCTCTGATATCTGAACACTAATACAAGTATAAGATCAATTTTCATAACAGTATAGTCCTCAAACTAAGTTCAATGAGTTGGTCGATTTCTGTTGCTGCTGCATATCTAACAATAATCAGCTATCCAGTAAATAGGGACTTCCCTTTTTCGACAGGATGATCACAAGTAACAAATTACTTTCCCGTTTCAACAACATACACACAGCTAGCATATTTAGATTGTACAAGCAAGAAGTGAGCAAAACAATCCCAGTATTATTATGTCGCAGTTAGTTTAACATACAAGATGTGAGATATATGATTGACAATTTCCAAGTATTAACCTTAAGGTAGCAAAAATTCTATTTGATGAAATCGAACAAATTATCATTTCATATCTACAAACTACTTCGCACAAAAGTGCACCAGTGTCATTTACTAAAAATAACATCTTCAAGCATTGAAGAGGCTCCAATCATTGACTTTGAAGCTAGAAACAGAAAGCTTGAAGACCTCAGCCATTGGCATACATCCAGATTGTTCAGCGGGCGATACTACTCCAGCGCCAACAATACCAGCACTCTCACTGAACGGACCGAAATATTGAAAATTAAAATTTCTTGTCAGTTACAACAAACCCCCAGATAACTAGTTAAGATACAGTTATTGTCTTAATTTTGGTAGAGGGCAGTGAAGGAGGTGAGATTTGGCCCATTTGGGTGTACTACCTCCCAATATAACTAGTAGCTAGTACCTTCAAGATACTATTTTTGTAAACCCCTGAAAGTCTGAAACCAGTATATATGAAGTTCCATCCAACAAAAAATCAAAAGAAAGCACAGTACAGCACAGTACAGTGTTATCTGCTTGGATGATTTGGATATAAGGCATGGCTGTTGAGGTTTGTTGAGAAGTATCAGTATATATCGGAGAGCATATCTTGTTCAGGAGTTCAGCAAAGGATGGTGTTTGCCTGATTTTGGAGCTAAGTAGATAAGCTCAGATGCAGCTAAAAGAGTAAAAGAGATTGGGTGCTGCTGCCAGAGTGTGGAAGAATAGGAAAAAAAATAAAATAAATATACAATGAAGGTTTGCCAAGCTTACCTAATAACAACTGGCTCATAGGCAGTGATCAAGATATCTGTGCCAACTTCCTTAAGCCGCAGATTGGCCAAATAAACCTGAATTGGCCACAGCACCACACAATGAATAGTCAATAATTTATGAATTGTAGATCTGTGCTGACATTAAACAAAAAAATAAACTATAATAATAGAATCCCTTACCCTTACTATATTTTGTGCCTCTCTTCCTTGACGCCCCTTAGAAATGGCCTGCAAAATCATGACAAAACTAGAAATTAGTAACCTAGATCTTAGAGATTACAAAGTCTGTCTTTCATTTTCAGCAACACAAGAAGGGCTTCACATTAACAATCACCAAAACAACTTGAATCTGAATATTGCAGCCCATGATCCTAAATCATAAAAACATCCCAGTTAAATACGATAATGCAATAACAATGAAGCTCAAAAGTTCTATCCAAAGTTTTTCAGATCTAAAATCAAAACTAGGCAAGCAGGAGATCAATGCAAATTTCCCATCAGATATTTTCAGACACTATAAATAGCATGTAAAACTAAGCATATAAAAGTACCAATGGAATGAGGTCCTGAACCAAATGTAAAACACAGTGTTACTTAATATTTGAAGATTGTCCTACAAACGAAGACATCATTTCTAAAACTAAAAAATGGAAGCAAAGTGAATAAAGTAATAAATTAATTGCACACCATTTGACCAACAGCACTGGTGACGACAGCAGGTGTGCTTCTGTAGCACAATCCCGGAACCTCCAAGACTCCTGATTGCTCAATCAACTGCACTTGACACAAGATCAATCATCAACATATTTTGTTAGTTTCGAATAATGGAAATTTAACAATAACTTTCAAAATTTTAGGAAAACAAAGATTAAATGATGATAAACCAAAAAAACAAAATGAACAAGCCACTAATGCCATTTTGAGGAATTAACTAGCGGAATCGAATAATGCCAGAACCACTGAAACCTTTGGCACTATTGAACTAAAACTTGCATGAATTCCTTATACTCAAAGATCAAACAATTCAATTCAAAGACTATATTAAGGAGGCATAGACTGCTCAAGAGCACATATCAGTATCAGTTACATGCACATAAGACTTTGTGCCATAAGCAACTCATCTGCATGGCCCAGCATATTTCACTAGCAAAATTTTAAGACAGGAATTAGATAAGTAATGGTGATATGATGATATCTACTTTAAACACCTGATTCTCCCTAACAAAGAAATTAATGAGCTACTTCGTCATTCTTTAAGTGGCTTCAATAATGTTAAAGAGCGCTGCAATGTGGAAAGTATTCCCCCTCCTACTTGGATTTTCTAATTGCAGGTCAGATCTAAAACCCATCTTTCATAAACTTCAATGCAATATACTACGGCAAATTTTGGACAGCTAAGTTGCCAGCTTCGGATTCCTTGCATATTCCAGTCCATAAATCCAAGTGACGTATCTAGCATCATTAACAACTATAGCTTCTAATGTCACTAAATTCATCATGAATCTATATTCATAGATATAATCAAAGGAATTTCTCGCACCCACTAATCCTAATTCACTTTCAAAAACAACAAATCCATCATAGGCCAACTTTCAAATTTCACGAAACTTGACAAACTCACCATACCGCCTTCGGCATCCTGTTCCCTAGCAAGGTCTTGAAGGAACCACACAGCACTACCTTCATCAGCAACCTCCTGCTTCAACTCTAACAATTCAACAATGAGACTTTCGTCTCGACTAGGATCAGCAAACGCTTCCTATACACAGAAACAAAATCCACATTGACCCTTCCATTAATTTGTAAACACCCACAAAACCTATCACAACAAATAATTTAGAACTCCTAAAAAACAATAAAAAAAAAAATAATTAGAACTCAACCTGATGATCAGGAACTTCCCGTACATTGCTCAAATCCTATATATATAAACCAAAATTGCACACAACAATAATCCAAAATATTGTTAATTTCCCACAAATATAACTTAAATAAAAAGCAAGAAATTGGGAAATTTGGCATGTTAAACCTGG